ACCACGTTAAAATTGGTGTTTGGTTTGTGCATTGATATTTGGTTGTTTTTGGCCTTCTTAGATCGGTGTTTGTTTTGGTTCCTCGGCGCCGCCATCAGCACAACTAGTGGTATCAGAGCTCGGGCTACGCTTGGGCTATTTGGAGGAGTAGATCGCTTTGGAAGTTCATCTAGGGCTTCGTTTTGTGATAAAGGTGAGATCTTTTTGGTAAAAATCTCGTCTTTTTCAGTTTGGATCTATTTCTCGTTTGTTTCCGCATTGGTTTGGTGGTGCCTTGAGGATTATGGCCGAGAAAGAAGGAGTTGTGGGCAGTACTTCCGGCGTGAAGACCGTCCAAAGCTTGAATATCCACTCAATGAAGATTGATGTGGAAAAGTTCAATGGCACAAACAATTTTGGACTTTGGCGATGCGAAGTCATGGATGCGCTCAACGCGCAAAATTTGGAAGATACGTTGGAGTTGGACGGGAAACCGGACAACATTGATGAGAAGGTTTGGAAAAAGATGAATCGAACGGCGTGTGGTGTGATTAGGTCTTGTCTCACTCAAGATCTAAAGTATGATGTGATCAATGAGACTTCTGCAAAGAAGATTTGGGAGATCCTTGAGAGCAAGTATTTGACCAAGAGTGTGGAGAATCGCTTGCATTTGAAGAGGAGGCTTTACCGCTTCCAGTTGAAGAAAGGAACCTCCATTGGTGATCACATGAACCACTACACGAAGCTTCTTGCGGATTTGGCGAATGTGGATGTTAAGATTGAAGATGAGGACAAGGCGTTGTTGCTATTGAGTTCCTTGCCTGACGAGGAATATGAGACCTTCGTTCTTACTCTTATTAATGGGAAGGCATCTCTTTCGTATAGTGAGGTCACCGCTGCACTTGTGAATTATCAGCTTCGAAAGAAGGATAAGGAGACTTCGTTTGAGCCGGTAGCGGGGGCGTTGGTCGCAAGAGCAAAGGGTCCAAACCGTAGTGGGAGGTCGCAGTCTAGAGGGGCACATCTTGGAGTTCGTAAGAATCAGTGTGCCTTTTGCAAAGAGGATGGACATTGGAAAGCCGAATGCCCAAAGTTAGTTGATCGAGCCGGGAAGAATAAGGGAAAAGCTATTCAAGCTTCAGAGGCGAATGTTGTCAAGGCAAATGGCAACGATTCAGATTCGGATTCTTCGGGCTACTCGTTATCTGCACTGCCGTCAGTTTGTGTTGCCTACTCTATAGAGTGGATGTTGGATTCGGGGGCTACATACCATATTTGCCCTAGGAGGGATTGGTTCTCCAGCTTTTAGGAGTTAGAAAGAGGGGATTTTGTGCTCATGGGGAATGATCACAAATGCTCTATTGGTGGTATCGGTACCGTTCGGATCAGGATGAGTGACGGGGTGATTCGGGAGTTGGTTGGAGTGAGGTTCATTCCTAAGTTGAAGAAGAACATCATTTCACTTGGAGCTTTGGAGGCAGCAGGCTATAGGGTGACCTTGGCGGATGCACGCTTGAAGGTTACATTTGGGTCCATGATTGTGATGAAGGGCGTCAGAAGAAGAAATTTGTATTATTTGCACGGAAGCACGGTGATTGATAGGGAAATGACGACTTCATCAGATTCGGCTAGACTGTGGCATTGTTTGGTGCTGGGGTATATGATTGGTAACATGGGTTGTTGAGGAGTGCTTTGACCTGCAGATTGAAGTCCTGTGAGCACATTGGGATGAGCAAGACCGTGGTGGAGTTTGGCACTCCTATCCATCGAGCGAGGGGTCTTTTAGGAGGTGTTCAGTCAGGCATTTGGGGGCCTTCCAAGGAGGCATCATTGGGAGGTAATCGTATCTTGGTTTCCGCAGTTGATGATTGATCTAGGCATTATTGGGTCGCGACCAGTTCTCGTTGGTGTAAAGTCCTAGAAGTCAACAACAGTTGGAAGAAGTGTATTGGCAGAAAGGTAACTCGTTGTTTCAGCTTTGGTAGGGGTCCTTTCTTGCGTTTGTGCCGAGCTCACGGCAGTAGGAGACACTTCATTGGTGTGGAGACTTTGGGACGACGAGATGAGATGACAGTTTCGATGGGTCGTTCCTTTCTGGAGGAGGATCAGCGTTGGTTGTCGAGCATTGGTTCTGGAGCTTCGACATATTTGGGTCATCTTAGTCACAGGTCGCCGACTACTGCATTAGGAGTTATTGGATCTGGTAGAGCTGATTCAGATTTTGGGTTGCATTGGATATTTGGATACCCGGCATTTGGTCACATTAAGGATGTGAGATTTGATCCGATTGCGCGTTTGGGGTTCGGAGGCTCAGTTGATTATCGTTTGGGAGCTTCTGATTTTGTTCTGAGCAGGTATGTCACTTTTGACTCTCAGCAGGTGGAGAGTGTTGATCAGGTCGTTTAGATATCGCAGCAGGTGGAGAGTGATGCAACTCCACGTTGGGTGGAGATTACTCCACGTACTCCAGATCATACTGCGTCATTTGGGATTCCAGCTGAGGTGACACAGGTTGGGAATCATTTGATTTCGGATGCAGATGATGGATTGGTTTTGGATTCGGTTGCAGCTGGTGGACATGATTTGGATACGGCCATTGGTTCACCTCATATGGAGGTGTTTGATTTGTATCAGTTTGGGGCCGCTATCAGTTGCAGATCCGTCGACGATATTAGGGAAGAGTTGCATACTTTTCTATTTGTTTGAGGGCCTTTGGAGGCCGTTTGGGTGAACTACGTGAAGGCTTGATTCCTTGGGCAAGAGGATACGTAGGCAGTCTTTATGATGCAGCCGATTTGGTGAGCAATATCGTCATTTGGGGTGAGTGTTCGCACTCCCATTTGGGTCTCAACACGTGAGGCATTTGTTTGGTTGGTGTCGGCTCAGTTTTGGGAAAACTTCGCCGAGGTGGAGAATTGTGGAGGAGAACTTGGAAAAAGCAGTTTTTTGGTCATAAGTCGACTCATGCACAGGCATAAGTCGACTTATGGTAAGTCGACTTATGTTTGTGTCGTAAGTCGACTTACGATCTGCTCTGGATTGTTGATTTTGGGCTCTGGCAAGTTGACTTATCAGGTCTGATAAGTCGACTTATGATCTCTTCTCCAGTTGTCGTTTTTCGCTCTGCCAAGTCGACTTTTGCAGACTGATAAGTCGACTTACGACGGGTTTTTTGGAAAGTTCAGGTTCCTATTTGCAGTCTGTTTGGGTTTCTGTTTTGGTATAAATACCAATACGATTTGAGGGTTTTGTAGGAGCGTTTTGGGGGATTTTGAGCACAAAAAGAGAGATCTTTCTGAGCTATTTGTTAGGGTTATTGGTTGAGAGGTTGAGAGATTTGTTGGTGAGATTAGTTGGTTCGTTTGAGCGATTTGTAATCTCAATTTGTACTCTCCTTCTCTATTAGTGGAAACCCTCCCCCTTCTTGCCCCGTGGACGTAGGCAATTGCCGAACCACGTTAAAATTGGTGTTTGGTTTGTGCATTGATATTTGGTTGTTTTTGGCCTTCTTGCATCGGCGTTTGTTTTGGTTCCTCGACGCCGCCGTCAGCACAACACGTTGTTGGCAAAGGGCTGCACTTTGGCATTTGAAAATACCATAACAGATTACATTCAGAACCTTGACAAACTCCCCTGAACTTTTGTACAAAAACATGAGAACTTTATAAATAAGAGAAAATCCCATGCTAAACCTCTCCGAACTATTGGAAGATCTGATAAATAGCATTGACTTGCAAAGTAGAAAATTTAAAAATGTGAGCTGATTGTTTTATCTTGTTCTCCTACATGAATATTGTTCATTAAAAATTTTCATCAATAATCATTATTTACCATAATTCAAACTACTCTACCAAGTAACATTGTCTATGAGACTTTCTAATAGTCCATAGGTGTATATTTAAAGTCTGGAAAGCTCAGTGGCTGTGCAAAATGCCCAAAATTCAGTGGTGCTTTGTGAAACCTACCCTATTTATCCCACAGTAGATCATAAAAGGAAGTATGTTCTTACTGTATACAATTAGGAATGAAGGAAGTGATGATGCCTTTTGAGCTAAATGACGCAAAGAACATACACAAGTAACAATGTCCTTAGTGAAAGTCCATGCCAATTTGGCTCTCTGTACTTGCATGTCGTTTCCTATTTACGCAATGAAGCTTTTTGATTTACTGATTGCCTCTTATTTGGCTTGTTTGTTTATGAATGTCAGCAATCGTTTTACCCAAAAACTTAAGTCCTCAAGCAGCAATTGGTAACATTTGGTAACTTCCCCGACCAGTGTTTTTTTGAACAAAAATCTAACGAAAAGTCACTGAAGGTAGATATCTAGTACATTTCTTTGTGTTGAATCTGATCAAACCATGCATCTCCAATTAAGTTATTCAGTCACAAAAGCTTTATCACAAGTATGCAATGATGAGAACGGCAACAAAATTAGGTCGACGGACAGTGTCACAGTGATCTTCCTCCATTGCTCTTACACTTACTATATTTGGAACCCTATTCTCGTTGAATATTGCTCCAATCCGCTATCATCAGTGAATGCAGCATTTTGGGACTCGTGGCATCAGATAATTTATTACATCTCCTTAATCAGTCAGATTGTTCTTTCCTAGCATGCTACTTCGATATGATCATTTAAGAATTAACTCAGAGGTGCTAACGTTCCCCATAGCTTGATTGTATGATCATTTTCATCTAGTATGACAACATTCCTCAACATCCAAGTAGATGACCATCGTAGAGCGGCATTCATGATGCCTTGATTAAGAAATGTAGATTAGTCTTTTTCGTCTTCTTAGCATCTTCTTAGCTCATCCTACTGTACTTTTCTCTCTTCTTTATGTATACTCTGCATTTATTTTCTCTAGTTAATAAATTTCTTGGTTACTCAAATAATGAGAAGAGCATTGGTGTGATGATTTCATGCAATCTATCAAGTGATTCTTCTACTCTAAGTTACTATAAGCAATGTAATAAAATATTTTCTCACATTAATTACATATATTTTCTTTTTCTGTAGAATGATGGAGGATGCTGAGGAGAAGGGTCTGATTAAACCTGGGATCACGATATTAGTTGAAGGCACAGGTGGAAATTTAGGGATTGCTTTGGCTTACGTAGCTGCAAGAAAAGGTTACAAGTTCATTGGAGTCATGCCTGCTTATTATTCACTTGATAAAAGGATGCTATTGAAATATTTGGGCGCCGAAGTTTACATAACTGGTGAGGAAGAATTTCTTATTATAATGAACTTTATTGGCTCTCTTTCCACACTTTTTTGTTGTTGTTCAAGCTAAATTTCATAGCCCCAAGACTTTCAGTTGTTCTACACAGAACCAGCTAAAACTTATAAAATTATACAAAATCCAACAGAACTATTTGAAATTGTCATAGACAGGTTGACTTTTAAACTATTCTTATTTATTTATTAATACTAATCTAAAAAACTCTCTCGATAATTTTGCACATGACAACTTAAACTATTTTCCATCGGTCAGAGGATTCAAGTGAATCAAGTTCGTGGTGATTTTCTACAATTCATGCAGCGAAGAGTTTTGCGCAAACACCACAAAATTTAGGAGAGTTTTGTATCATTACCATTTTAAAAGGAGAATTTGGATTATATTGTGCAAATTTATGTTGTGCGAAGCGGAAATTTCGGCAGCAACTTGACAACACCTCGGCACAATAAGAGAGTAAGATCACAATAGGAATTCCCGTTTTACCAAGGAAAAAAGAACCAAAAACAAAATATCTCAACAAAGTGGGATATCAGCTCTTCCTCTCATTATTTCTAGGACTGACTAGTCGAGCAGACCTAAATAAGCTATTACAAACTATACAAACAGCGAGACAAACGAATTTTACGTAGTTCGGCAAATTGCCTTCGTCCACGGGGCAAGGAGGGGGGAGATCTACTATTAGAGAGAGAGAGAATACAAATAGGGTTTACAATCACACAAATTAAACCCTCAAACAAGCTCTCAAATCTCACACAAATATCTTCCTCAAAAGGACAACCGCCAATACCCTTTTTCTCCTCTGCTTTCTCCCCTTGAAATAGCCGAAAAAAGATCTGCGGTTTTCTCCTCTACACGTCCCCTCTTTTCACTTGCACACTAACCTATGAACAGACCATGTTCCTATTTATAGGCTAATAAATGGATGAGGTTGTACAACACGCGGAAAAAAATTCCACACCCAAAAGACTCGTGCTTGTGGCCCCCACATTCGTTGTTCACGGTTTTCCCCACTGCTTTATCTCCTCATGTGGCCCCACATTCATAATTCTCTACCTCGGTGAAGTTTTCCCAAAACTGAGCCGACACCAAAGCATCCAAATGTCTCACTTGTTGTGTTCAGTACGTTATGAAGTTAATTCACAATAACGGACTCAATCCACAACAAGTTGGGAACCCGAACGAGACTACAAACAATCTCAGCCTCATCAAAATCAACTAATCTAAACTCGCTACATCGTAAAGACTGCTTATGTATCCTTTTGCCCAAGGAATCAAGCCTCACGTAATTCACCTGAATGGCCGCCAACGGCCTCAATAATCACGAATGTGCAACATGTTTCCACAATGACCAAACTTGTTGTTCGGAACCACCTTAGTGAGCATATCCATCGGATTATCCTTCATGTGGACTTTCACAATCTCCACATCGTCATCTTCAAGAACATCCCGAACGAAGTAATAGCGAACATTAATGTGCTTCGTATCCATCACGTACATCAAGTTCCCAACCGCTCTCATATATGGAGTCTTCAACATCAACTCTCAATCTTCAACTGTCTTCAATGAAAGATCAGTTAAAAGCTTTAAATAGGCTCCCAATGGTACACTAAGTAGCTTCGTATCCATGCTAACATGAAATCGTTATAGAACCTTCTTCAAATAAGCCACATGTGTCAAACAAATTCTGCCATTCTTCTTGTCTCTGCCAATCTCCATTCCTAAAATACATTTTGCCTTACCCAAACCCTTCATCTCAAACTCCTTTGAAAGTTGTGCCTTTAACTCATCTATAGCATATGTAGAAATAAAGGCAACCAACATGTCATCAACATAAAGTAAAAAATTGATATACGCACTTCCTTTTAACTTGCGAAAATATACGCAAGGATCAAACTGGCTTCGAGTGTACAAATGACTAATCATAAAACCATCGAATCGTCTATATCACTGTCGAGGAGACTGTTTCAAACCGTATAGCGATTTTTTCAATATGCGAACCAATTTTTTCTTCCCTGCAGCTCGGAATCCCAATGGCTGAGTCATATATATTTCTTCATCAAGATCACCATGAAGAAATGTTATCTTTACATCTAACTGATCTAAATCCAAACCATACTATGCCACCAAAGCTAGCAAAATCCGAATCGAAGAGTGCTTTACAACCGGTGACTAAACCTCATTATAGTCAATACCTTCCTCTTGTGCATGGCCCTTCGCAACTAATATAGCTTTGAACCTCATTGGAGTGCCCTCAATGCCCTCATTTCATTGTGTATACCCACTTACAACCAATTACCTTCCGCCCATTTGGAAGCTCAACAAGCTCCCACATATCATTCTTGTGAAGAGACTTCATCTCCTCCAGCATAGCTACCTACCATGAATCAGCCTCCGAACTATGCTCGGCCTCTCTGAATGTAGTAGGTACCATCTCATCGATACTCTCTATCAGAAGTACATACGTAACTTTGTCGGCATACCATACCGGTATCCGTATGTCTCTCATCTGTCTCCGAACCATAATAGAATCTTGTACTTGAGCTGTACCCGTATCCTCCTCGAAGTCGATGTGCTCGCCTGGCATCACCTTAGTTGACACCTTAATGGATATTGTACTATCTGGACAATGTGGAACTGTATCGATCTCCACCACCTATGATATCTCCTCTGTCGGGTCTCTCTCCACTTGATGAGAAATGGGAAGCTTCAAGATAGAAGCCTCATCGAATGTGGCGTGTTTACTCAGCACAATCTTCCTATCAACTGGATCCCATAGCTTGTATCCTTTGACACCACACTTGAATCCTACAAATATGGTCTTCCTAGATCGAGGTTCCAACTTATCTGTTCTCACATGATAAAATGTAGGGCACCCAAATACCTTGAGCTGGTCATAATCTCGTGCTAGCACTCCCAACCATAACTCCATATGGATCTTCCCTTTGATCACAGATGAAGGCAACCTATTAATGAGGTGGCTCGCATATGAAAGTGCCTCAGTCCAAAGGATCTTCTCTAAACCACTATGCGCCAACAAACATCGGATCTTCTCCAGCAAAGACCAATTTAACCTCTCTGCCACCCCATTCTGCTACGATGTATGAATAACCGTAAAGTGCCTCTCTATGCCCTCATCTCGACATAGCTGCAGAAAGGGGTCTGATATGTACTCGTCGCTGTTATCGAATCGCAACGTCTTGATCTTTCTCCCAGCCTGTAGTTCCAACATCTTTTTCCACTCCACGAATATATCTAGGACTTCACTCTTATTTGCCATGGTGTACACCCAACATCGCCTAGAATAGTCATCAACGAACGTGACGAACCAATGTCGACCACATGGTGTACACCCAACATCGCCTAGAATAGTCATCAACGAACGTGACGAACCAATGTCGACCACCAAGTAATGCAGTCTTGGTAGGACCAGAATAGTCATCAACGAACGTGACGAACCAATGTCGACCACCAAGTAATGCAGTCTTGGTAGGACCCCAATGGTCTGTGTGCACATAGTCCAGAATACCCCTCGTCTGATGCATGGTAGTCCCGAACTTCACCTTCGTCTTTTTGCCAAGAACACAATACTCATAGAACTTAATCTTCCCACTCTTGGCTCCTTTAAATAGTCCCTTCTTGCATAGTGCCTGTAGTAACTTCTCACCTATGTGTCCTAATCTGTAATGTCAAAGTCTACTCATGTCCGCCTCTAAAATAGCTGAAGCTACCTAGCCAATCTCGATGCTCCACTTCAGATAATACAAGTTTTGACTGCGGACTCCCTTCATCACCACTATAGATCCCTTAGTAACATTTTCTGCAGTATTCTTAAAGGTCACTTTGAATCCTTTTGCCTCCAAAGCTCCAACAGAAATAAGATTCTTCTTCAGCTAGGGAACAAATCTCACCTTCTTCAATTCACGAACTATTCCATCGTGCATCCGAATCCTCACAGTACCTATCCTACAAATGTCATAGGACTGATCATTTTCCATGACTACAACTCCTCCATCGAGCTTCTCAAAAGATGCAAACCAATCTCGCCTAGGGGTCACATGATAGGTAGCACCGGAATCAAGCATCCAATCTGATGCATCCAAGTGGTTCACCTCTGGAGTAATCAGTAGAGAAAAGCTCGAATCATCAGAATCATTGCCTTTCGTAATATTCACCTCATTATCTTTCGAGCCCCTTTTCTTGTCATTCTCCTTCTCCTTGAGCATCCGGTAGTCTCTCTTCCAATATCCCTGCTCCTTACAGAATGCACATTGTTCTTTGCTAATTGGTGGCAGCTTCTTGACTTTGACCCCCCTCTATTACCACCTTTCAGATATGGGCTTCTACCTCTCGTCGACAAGGTCTCACCTGAAGTACTAACACGAGAAGTCTCATTGTCCTTCCTCATCAAATTATAATTTGTCAATGTATTAGTAACTTCACTATAGCTGATAGAAGTTCTCCCGTTTAACAAAGTGAGCACAAAAGTGTCATATTCCTCGTCCGGTAAGGGGCCCAATAATATGATAGCCTTGTCCTCATCCGAAATCTTCTTATCAACATTCTCCAAGACCGACAACAACTTCGTATAGTTGTTCACATAAGTCGCAAGCGAGGTGCCTCTGGACATCTGGAATCTGAATAACCTACGCAGCAAGTGCAACCGATTCTCAACACTCTTTGTAAGGTACTTATTGTTAAGAATTTCTCACATCTTCATTACAGATGTCATCTCAATCACATCATACTTTAGTTCCTGTTCCAAGCATGACCTGATCATCCCACAAGCGTTCCTATTCATCTTTTCTCATATCACCTCTTCATATATTGGTAGTCTCTCATGGACCATGATGGTCTCCTCCAAGTTCTGAACATTGAGCGCATGTTGTACATCGCTCATCTACAAACCAAAGTTAATTTTACTGTCATACTTTACCATACTAATTTTGGTGTTTTGAAAACCAACTTGAACTATGATCTCCATCGTCTCGCTGCTTTCACCTTCTTCTCCCATTGCAAACTAACTCCAAATTGTAGAGAATGAATTAAACTTTCATAGAAATTAAGAATTACCCAACAAAACTCTAGATCAGATTCTAAATAGATCATCTGTCCACACGAGGATAGCAAAATCTCCAACGGCAACTCCTAATGCTATCTCCACCGAAACCTAGAACCCAGAGAACCAAGATTCACACAAGAATTTTCCTCCACCTAATTCTAAAACCCTAGATCTAAAATCTGAGCTCTGATACCACTTGTTGTGCGAATCAGAAATTTCGGCAGCACCTCGGCCCAACAAGAGAGTAAGATCACAATAGGAATTCCTGTTTCACCAAGAAAACAAGAATCAAAAACAAAATATCTTAACAAAGTGGGATATCAGCTCTTCCTCTCATCAGTTCTATGATTGACTTGTCGAGGGAACCTAAATAAGCTATTACAAACCACACAAACAGTGAAACAAACGAAATTTACGTGGTTCGACAAATTGCCTATGTTCATGGGGCAACGAGGAGGGAGATCTACTATTAGAGAGAGAATACAAATAGGGTTTATAATCTCACAAATTAAACCCTCAAACAAGCTCTCAAATCTCACACAAATATCTCCCCCAAAAGGACTGTTGCCAATACCCTTTTTCTCCTATGCTTTCTCCCCTTGCATCAGCCAAAAAAAGATCTGCGGTTTTCTTCTCTGCACGTCCCCTCTTTTCATTTGCACACTAACCTAGGAACAGACTATGTTCCTATTTATAGGCTGATAAACGGATGCGGTTGTACAACACGTGGAAAAAAATTCCAGGCCCAAAAGACTCATGCTTGTGGCGCCCACATTCGCTGTTCACGGGTTTCCCCACTGCCTTATCTCCTCATGTGGCCCCACGTTCACAATTTATGCAAAAGAATTACTTGATTACTGTACTTCCTACTTGTTCTGGTAATACATATCATTGTTGAAAGTTACTTTTGATTATAAGTAAGTGGAGATGGTATCAGAGCAATCCATGTTCATAGCTGAACGGGTGTGTATTTTAAAGCAGACTTAAAAAAATAACATTGCATAAAAAACCTCAGGTTTAATTTGTTCATAAGAAAGGGAAGTTGAACCTGTGATGTCTTGTTTTGATCCATATTTTGGAGTTTTGATATGGTGGAGTAGACTTTTGGAGAGGAGAAAGTTCATATTGTGGTTTTCTTGTTCTTTCTTTTATTTATATGTTGCAATTATATTCAGATAGTCTCTTTTCCTTTTTCGATTCATAATACCATTTAACTAATTATAGATTCTATTGCTTGGTGTTTTCGTAGATCCTAAACATGGATTTCAGGGAATGGTTGAAAGAATTGAGCAGCTGAAAGAGAATGATCCAAATGTTTATGTTCTTGATCAGTTTACCAATCCAGCAAATCCTGATGCACATTTTACAGGCACCGGTACTTTTATGCAACTTTGCTAATTCTTAGTGATATATTTCAATTAGTTCATCGCAATTTTTCATTCCTGAAGAGAATTAGAACATGCCATTTTGCTAGTCAAGCAAGTAGGCAGACTAATGCTGTAAATATAATTATGACCGAAGTTTTTAGTGCAACTTCCAAATTTGGCGTACTGGAAGGGTTTTAGTAACAGAATAATCCAGGTTCAAATTTCACCAGGCTTGTACTTGAAGCATATTAGGAAAAGGTATGGCCATGTAAAAAAAGCTCAAGTTTTAGTCCACGAAAAGTACTAAGAATCTGTAGGAATATGATAGCTTTGAAGTTTGTGGTAGTCGAATGGACTTTGACAGCATCCATCGTACCAGAAGAAGTGACTTTATCGACATGTTACAAAACCCAAATTTGGATGTTGAGTACATAATGTAATATTTAGTGACTCTGTTGATGCTTCTTTACGTTACGTTGTGTTTATTCAGATTATTCACTATCTAATCTCCTGAATACTTCATTAATAATATTTATCTCTGACAGTTGGGCATCAGTATCCTTTATCCAGTTTGTCATAACATGCTTACATAAGTAACTCAAGTTTGGTTATCTTTCAAGTAAAATTAATTTCCATTGAAGAAATTTTTTCTGTCTAGCTATTTCTCTCTCTTATAATGATCACTCTGATAAAGATTATAATAAATTGTCGAGAGTTCTAATCGTAACCTATTGCATCGAATTTCAGGACCAGAGATTTGGAATGACACGGCGGGAAAGGTAGACATCTTTGTATGTGGTACTGGATCAGGAGGTACATTGACCGGTGTAGGAAAATATCTCAAAATGAAAAATCCCGATATCAAAATAATTTGCGTTGAACCTGCAGAAAGTGCAGTCCTTTCAGGTAATTTTGATTTTGGAATCAGAGAAAAGTAGTAGTTTCAATTTGGTACAAACTTCTATAGAGGATTCTACAGTAAATGTGATCTGGACTCAGGACACTTCAATTTATTTTCCACTGATATACTCATTAAATACGTAACAAAGGAACCATAGGCATAAGTTCTTAGCTTATGACTTACTAAAGAAAAATTCTTTAAGGACCCAAAATATGAGACCAATAAAGGAGACAAGTGAGGTGTTCCCCTCCTATTAGATAATAAGTTGGCCATCATTAATGATAACCAACTCATTATCCAATAGGAGGGGGACACCTCACTTGTCCCCTTTATTGGTCGCATATTTTGGGTCCCTGTAGCAAAGCTCCTTACTAAAACCATAACCATGGATTTTGATAATTTTATACAGGGGGTCAACCGGGTCCTCACAATATCCAAGGGATAGGGCCGGGTATCATTCCAAAGAATGTGGATATGTCGCATGTTGATGAGATCATAACAGTAACCACAGAGGAAGTAATGGTTCATGCAAGAAGGATTGCAAGAGAAGAAGGTTTGCTTGTAGGCATATCCTCAGGAGCAAACTTAACTGCATGCTTAAAGGTTATATATGCTCTACCTTTTTTATTTTTTCCTTATAAACTGTGTTAACAGAGAGATTAAAAAAAGTCTAATCTACTCTTTCTATAGTTACCCGAAAAGGGTAATACAGAAATTACGTTTAAATACTATTTTACGTATAAATACTATTTTCTTAACTATTTTACGTATAAATACTATTTCCATGGATTATAATCTGAACTATTTTACGTATAAATACTATTTTCTTAAACTCCACCTTTAATGTCCTGTATGACTTGAGCTTAAAGTCTCTTTGAATGCATAACCTTCAAAGTTGTTATAAGGATTGAGGGCTATAATTTTATAGTCAACGCTATCAATGTTGTTTACATGATCACATTAACAGTTCCTACTTCTATTGTTTGACAGGTTGCGAAGAGAGTTGAAAACAAAGGCAAGATGATTGTTACGATGTTTTCAAGTGGAGGAGAGAGATATATCAGCACACAGTTGTTTGATGAGGTCAGGGATGAATGCGCTAATATGAGCTTCTCATAGATTTTACGTATCTGCACGAGATGCTTTGTATCCAAATCTCCTGTTGTCATTTGAAATAAAAAAAGGATTCTTAAGATACGTTTGTTCAAGCTTAAAAACCAAGGTACAGAGTGTTTTAACCTTTTGCATAAGGAACTATCTTGATGGTGATTATGATGTTAATTTGCCTTGGGACTTCACAGTAATTAGCAATAACAAAATTATAGCAAGAAATGATATATTTTGATGTAAATGAGCCTTAAATCATCGTTAGAGATGCAAATATTATATCATAGACAATACATTTTAAATATCATATTTGATGATATGTATCAGATACTTGCTTAACAAAAGATACGTATTAGATGCTTTCACACTCCGATCACAAAATGTTTCGAGGAATGGGAAAAAATAAATTAATAAAACAAGAATTGAGTGCTAGTTTCTGAATGATTTTAAATTATGAAATTTTCTTACTATATACTTCCTTGAAAGAAATAGAATAATTTACATTTCACATGTGGGAGAATGTATTACTTTCTTTCACGAATACGTCATTAATGGGTACAACAAAACTAAACAACAAGTAAGCTTTTCATTAGTTAACGATAACCAATCAAATTCAAACCTAAAATATGTTTGATTACAAAACTAAAATCGTCACCCAAACTTCAGAATTGCATGTGGAATAGTGGCGGGGAATTTATTGAGTTTATCTTTCTAGTGGGTTTTAAAAACCCAAACCCATTATGAATAGGTTTCATGAAAACGGGTTTGACCCGTATTAAATATTAAACCCAAAATCCATGAATGTTACATGCACCTCTCCTTGATTTTTTTTTAATTTCAGTATCTTTCCTTGATGTTTTTGACGCGACTCCACTGGACATTATCCTCACGTTCTTACTACAAACAAAGACTTTGTAAATAATTTGGAACTAAACAATGTTATTTGAACGGATTATATGAGAAAGGGATTAATATCAGTATGATATTGAGATTTGGGAGACTAATAACAAATTTTAATGATTTAGAGAACTAGTAGCAAAACACTATAGATTTAAGGGACTAATATTGAAAAACCCCAGTAACTTATTTGAATGGATTATATAACAGAGGGATTAATATCAATTTATTACACTTGTATAATCTAAGAACTGTAATACCTTTCTAGTTATGCTTAATTGATATTTACTTCCTTACATTAAACTTGTTTTTACGATGCACACAAGCCGATGTGAATTGATAATTTACGGCTTACTCTAAGTCGGTATTAGTTGAGGAATTGATTAATTACTAGCTAGGGCTAGGATTACTCACTATGAAGAATTAGGTTAGATGACTAGTTTAGGAGAAACTAAGTTTTCGGACTTATAAGTCTCTTGAATCAGGTGTGTAATTTAGAGAACTCTCACATTGTTAAGATGCCTCTTCGCGAGAAGCAAGAGTGGATGCAGGATTATTTAATTATCTGAACCACTATAATATTGTATGTGTTATGGCTGCGATTATTTTCTGTGATTTGCATTGTTTACTGTTTTGCTTGTTATTGTTATTATTTCACTACATATCTTTGTGTTATGGCGGCATTCATGATGCCTTGATTAAGAAATGTAGATTAGTCTATTTCGCCTTCTTAGCATCTTCTTAGCTTATCCTGTAGAGAGCCATTTCTTTTCTCAATTAATAAAAAGAGGAAAATCAAAGGTCTTCCAAGTTAAATTATGTATCAGGATCACTAGTGGGCCTTTCAGTTTCTTTAATTAGGAATAAATGTTGTTTGGAGGTAATATGAAAGCAGTTACAAATCTCAAGAGTCATTGGAAATCCTATATAAGATGGCAGAATCCCTTGCCTTCATGCACACAAACAAAAAGAGAAAGAAAGTGTTCTGGAAGAATCAGAGAAGGAAGAGGACGAATGCTAGCTTCTAAGAGGTTAGTTATTTTTGTTTTGGTTAGAAACATAAATAGAATAGATAAATAATAACCTTTTTCCGGCCATCGATGCTATCTCCGGCGACATCAGAAGAACTCCGGTCATCCACGGTCGTCGGTTTCATCGGTGGTGTCCTCTATGACCGCCGAACCCAAGAAAACCCATTTGGGTTCATAAGCCGTAAAAAAAAGGAAAATAAGAGGAAGAAGAAAAGGAAAATTATTGCTAGACCCCTAGAATTACAGAAATTAGGTTTGAGTACAAAATCTTTGGAAAGGTGATTTTGTACAAAACCTAATTAATGAAAAGATTCTCATTTTGACCCATTAAACTAGAAACGTTGCTGTTAGGCCCAAGTTCTATTTAAAAAGAATAGAAATAAATTTTAGAAACCCCCCTAGAAACTAAAAATATTAGTTAGAAACTAAAAATATTAGTTGGAAACTAAAAATATTAGTTTTATATCCAAAATAGTTTGAGTATAGAATCTTTAGTTTTTATGCATCTTGTGTGATTATAGGTTTGATCGAGGAGTAGGTTCTTAGACTACGGTTCTCTAAATCATTGTCAAATCTTTTGATGTGAGTAGATTTCTTATCATTGGTTATTTTCTATTATATATTATTTAAATAATAATTTTATTTTTGTGTAGAGAAATTAGGGATCAGACATGTTATTCTATTCATTTATAGTAATTGTTAACAAATTTGATTGTGATAGCTATTAATCTTTTACAAGATAAATATTGTTTAGTATATGAGATTTTTTGAAAATATATCATTTCAAATTTACTGTTCAAATGCATTATTTGAAGAGTTCTATTTAACAAAAAAAAGTATTTATTTTTTTAAATTCATGAATATTCTATTTTCATGAAATTGATATGAGAAAAGTTTGCAAAAGTGTTTAAGTTTTTATATTGCTTTACGTACAAGTGGAAATTGTGAGTGATACTTTGAGCAAAAAAGAAAAGTGTTTTAATATTAAAAATCCTCAAAAGTCCGCTATGGACTGAAGTAATTTGTTGAAGCCTACCATATGGTATGAATGTACCGACCAGTGATAAAGTGGCCTTTTGGCAAAAGTGAAGTGGCCCTCGAGCAACCTATGCTAGTGTTAGGTACATTCTGTCCCCGGTTTGACTTATAGTAATTTGATACGCATTCCCATGCTACTAGGCTATAATTCCTTAGTGTGACAACTGAGGAAGTTTTGCAAGTGTGAATTTAGATGGATAATTATGATTTTAAAAGTATTTAGTGTTCATTCGTATTATTTCATAATTTGTGAATTTTCTTTTATGAAATATCACATCTATTCTTTGAAATTCCTCTTATTCAAAATATTATGTGTTTCTTAATCGTCTTTTTTGACGATAACTTATTTAAATTTTAGTATTGATAAATTCTTAAACTTGTCTGATCCGCTAATGATAAGTTTTCTGCTCACTGAGTGTAAACTCACCCCATTGTTTTTCAATCTTTTCAGATAAAAACTATATAGCTCTATCTATATCTCAGAGCTTTGGAATATGAGAATGAACATTTAGGGTGTTTGATGATGAAAGTTAAAGTTATACAAATCTTGCTACTATGCATATGTAATAAGAGTCTTTTGACTCATTAGAGTGAACTTATTATAATGTAGCTTTGCTCTGAGACTTCTCTATTTGCCAATAATTTTTTTTTAAATGAAGTTTATTGTATTATGTAAGTGCACCGTAGGCTTAACATGTATTTTGTGCACATATTTTCATTGTCACGTATCTCAAAATAAGTTGTGCAATTTGGGGGAGTGACAAGTTGTGGGATCAAAACCTAGGTTTAGAAGTTCTAGGCTTATAAATCTATAGACAGTAGCATTTAGAAATAAATTTTAGAATTGCTTTTAGGGATTATTGATATATTATTTGTTTGCTTTATAACAAATAAATTTTAGAATTGCTTTTAGGGATTATTGATATATTATTTGTTTGCTTTATAACTAGATGGCTAGGAACAACACGAACACTACTTCAACTGGATTATTGATATATTATTTGTTTGCTTTATAACTAGATGGCTAGGAACAACACGAACACTACTTCAACTCAAGAAATTGATTTGCACCAGACTTTGGGGCAAATGTTTGGTTGTAGAAGTGTACGTAGATTTGGTTCTAGAGAAAATCAAATGGATGCAAATACTATGATGCATATGATGCAAAATCTCACTACTGTGATACAAAATCAGTAGCAATAACTTAACAAACAGCAAAATTCTCGAGACAATGATCATCCTCAATTGCGAAGCAGTATGGTAGAGTTTAAGAGGTTGTAACCACCTACCTTCGAAGGAAATGTAGATCATATGGTAGCTAAAGACTGGATCACGGTGATGTAGAAAGTCTTTACTTATATGAAGTGTCTCGATGGAGAAAAAGTGGCTTATGCAATATATGTTTAAAGGACGTGCATATGGCTGGTGGAAAATGCAGCAGAGGATTCTAGGAGATGGTGCTGACCAAATATCTTGGGAAGAAATTAAGAAAGTCTTCTATGAGAAATAATTTCCAAAGACTGTTCGCTAGCAGAAGAGAAGGAATTCCATGAGCTGAAGCAAAATGATAAGACTATGGCTAAATATGAGGAGGAATTTACTTATCTATCCAAGTTTGCACCCTAGTTTGTTACAACTGAAGAAGATAGAGCACGTCGTTTTGAGGACGGTCTTCAACCCAAGATAAGATTTCAAGTGAGCTCATTTGAACTCTCCAGTTATGCAGCGGTATTGAAGAAAGCTTTAGTGATTGAAAAAGAAATGACAAGAAATTTTTTCGATTGATGATCGCAAGAATGATGATATGAAGAACAGGTTCAGATCGGATGGATGTGGAGGTCACAACAAGAACTGGCAAAACAACAGACAAAATGTGGATTCAAAAGGAAAGCAGACTATGAACCAGAAGTTGATGAGATGCACTATATGTGACAAGCCTAATCATGAAGCGAATAATTGCTGGAGAGTTACAGGTGCTTGTCTGAGGTGTGCCCAAAAGGATAACAAGATTGCAGATTGCCCTAAGTTGAAAAAACTCCAGGTCATAAGACATCTCAATGTGATCAGCGTCCTCAAGTGAAGGCTCGAGTTTACTCTCTAACCGAGCAAGAGGGTCTGGCAAATAATGATTTGGTGTTAGGTACTATACCTATATTTTCTATTTTTGCTCGAGTTCTATTTGATTCTGGAGCTTCGCATTCTTTTATTGCTGAACAATTTGTTAG